CCCCCCCCCCCCAAAGGCCATGTGGTGACGAGCATTTATCGTTAGGTTCCAAAACGGCCAGGACGGGGCAGGTGGTGAGGGCGCTGAGAGAATCCATGGCCTGGGGTCTAGGGTCTGACGGGGACAAGGCATCCACAGGGGACCTAGGAGGCGGCCAGGAACCCCACCTGCTCTCCCCTCCCTCACGACACCGCCCAGCACAGTCGAGAACCACGCCGGGCTGTGCGGGGAGAGCTTCTCAGGACGTCCGTCCGCCTCTCCGCTGCCCGTCGCCACCGCCGAGGGCAGCACTCCGGTGACTCCCGACACCTAACTTCCCTCCAGGCTGCAAGCAGCTGCGATGCGACAGCAGCAGCCCCAACACACACGAAGGAGAGGATGCGACAGCGACACAGCCCTGCCCGAGCCATCCGGCCCTAGGACTCGGCGACGAGACTCTTAAAAAGGCCCGTACTTAGTTCACCATCTTCACACGTGCACAGAAAGCACGCACGGCCCACGTGCTGCCCCACAGCAGCAGCGGCCGCCTCCCGTGTTCAGAAAGACGTGAAAGCACCGGGGGGACCGGCCGCACGCCAAGCACCGTTCCCGCGGCTCCCGGAGGGACACACGGCAAACGGAGGAAGGAAAACGTCACGCCAGCTCGGCCACCAGGCCGTGAATCCAGGGGCACGGAGGTGAGAGGACACGTGGGGAGGGGAGCACGGCCGGCAAGGAGCCGCAGCGGTGCCGGCGAGGCCGGAAGCATCCGGGAGACACGGGAGGGACCGCGTCTTCCCACGGCCAGGTGGTGCCGCCGGCTCCTGCCCGCACGCGGCACAGAGGTGGGAAGGGCCGACCGCAGGAGTTCAAGCATCGCTAGAAATCTAAGCAGCTTGTTCCAGCGCCGGGTCGCGTGTGCGCAAACCTCAGCCTCATTTCCGAGCGCCTCCTCAAGATTCGTCAGCGTGAAGGCGGGAAGCGCAGAATCCCCGGGAGCGAATGGTGAACTTGGAGCCCGGACACCAGGCCTGCCGGCAGTGCGCCACGGGCCCCTCGGGGCAGCGGGCAGCCCGGGGGGACGGTCCTGCCTGCGCTGTGGGAAGTGAGTCCGTCACGCCAGCACAGCGTGCGGCCCCCACGCCCTGAGGTCCCAGGAGGAACGCGCGGGAGGCCGGGGCAGCTGAGTGAGCCCGCGACTGAAGTAGGGACACGCGAGCAGGGTGACGACGTGTGCCTTCGAAGCCGCAGGCGAGGGCTCTGCCGACTCATGGTCAGAAGCGGAGTCCCAGCCGTCGCGCCCACCTGACGCAGGGATGGCGGCCACACGGCAGACCCGGGCCCGAGGGGACGGAGGGGCAGGCCGTGGGTGACGCTGACCCGGCCCAGTGGCCGCAGGTACTGCCATTGCTTGGCCCGAGGACCGGCTTTTCTCCTCCCGGACGGACAGACGTCTCCACCCGCACACACAGCAGGGCTCAGCCAGCGCGCACGAGGCCAGAGTCCGCCCGGCACGGTCCTGGGCTCCGGTCACAGGATGTTCTGCTAGGCTTTCGGTCTGGCGGACCCTTCCAGAAAGGGCTCCTCACATTCACGCGCCAGAAAACACGACAGGCCCGCGACGAACCAGAACACGCGGGATGGGCCGCCCCAAGTCGCCGAGACCCCACACCGGGCGCCCAGCCTCCCGGGCGAGCTCTGCCCGGCTCTGCAGCGCCCCCAGCCATCAGTCCTCGGCCGCCGCGGACGAGCAGGGCAGAGGGGAGAGCTCCTGGGGGGCCTCGAGCTTGACCGCGGCCCTGAGGGCCACGCGCCGCCCCTTCGCCTGCCGCTGCCTCGCGAACACCGAGCGCAGCGCGCGCAGCTGCCCCACCTCCTGCGCCGTGAAGCAGGGCTGTCCCTCGGCGAAGCGGACGACAGAGTCAAAGGCCGAGGCCGCCTGCTCCCAGGCCACCTCGTCGCCATCCTTCTCCACCTGCTCTGGGCCCCCCGCGGACGGGGCCAGGCCCTCCCCGGCCTCGCATCCCAGCCCGTCTCCCTCGGCGGCCGCGCCCCGGTGAAGCCGGCTGCCGGGGCGCGCCGGGGCCTCTCTCCCGAGCTCCAGGATGTGCGCGAAAGTTTGGTCGTGAGGCCTCGTTTGGAGACGCTCCGGCTCCTCCTCGGAAGACGAGCCTTCGGCGAACGTGACCGCGGGCCACAGCTTCCTCCAGGCCCGGCTGAAGACGTGGCGGGGGACCGCGCTCCAGGCGCAGGCCACGCTGACGATGGCATCGTTCATGCTGTAACGGGGGTGACGGCCCTGCAGCGTGGCGGGGGGGTTGATGAAATTCCTCAGGAAATCTCTCCGAATGCCCTGGTCCATGGGCTGGATGGAGGAGGTGGCGCCCGCGGGCAGGAAGACGGTGAGGACGTTGTCGGAAACCAGCTGGGACTCCCGCGGGCGCGCCCGGGTGCCGTCCAGCAGGAGGATGGCCTTGCCGTCCTCGGGCAGGCCCACCGCTCGGAAGTGCTCCCTCACCGAGGGAACAAAGATGTGATGGAACCAGTCGGAAAAGATCTCCTTGTCCACCCAGGCGTTGCCCTGGGCCTTGTACGCCACCGGCAGGTGCTGGATGCCCCGGAAGGCCCTGGGGCCGCCGCGCTTCCCGATCACCAGGGGTTTGATCTTGTGCGAGCCGGTGGCGTTGGCGCACATGAGGACGGTCAGCCTGTCCTTGTTCTGCTTGACGCCGGGCGCCGTCCCGCCTTCCGGGCTGGCAGTCGGCAGGCACCGCCAGAGAAGGCCGGTCTCGTCAGCGTTGTATACCTGCTCCGGGGACAGGCCGTGCTCGGCGGTCAGGCTCCGGAAAAAGGCACAGAACTGCTCTGCCGCCCGGTGGTCGGCCGCTTGCTTTTCGCCGGACGCGTCCAGCTTCTTAATGCCGTGCCTGGCCTTGAAACGCCACAGCCACCCGCCAGAGAACACGCAGGGCTCCGTCAGGCGCATCTGCTCGTAGAAGTCCTTGGCCTTCTCGATGAGCATGGGGCCCGACACGGGCACGCCCTCGGCGCGCTTCCCCAGGAACCACTCGTACAGGATGCGGTCCAGGTGCTCCAGCTTGGGCGTGTGCAGGGTGCGCCGCTGCTCCAGGGCCTTGTTGGAATCCGAGTTGGCAAAGAACCGAAGCAGCTGCGCCTTGTGGGCCTTGATGTCGTACAGGGTGGACATGCCCACGTTGTACTCCTGCATCAGGACCTTCCTGCTCTCCCCCTTCTCCAGGCGCGTGCAGATGTCGATCTTCTCCTTCAGGGTCAGCACCACCCTCTTGCGCTTCTCCCCCGGGCTCCTGCCGGCAGCCTGCCTGGAGGCCATGCGGAGGCTGGCTTGTCCCCAGTGGGTGGGGAGACACTCGCCGCGGGGCCTGGCGGACGTCTTGCCTCTCCCGCCCCTTTCCTCTGCTCCCGCCCCTGCCTGCCCCGTCCCTCTGACCCTGGGGCCACCGTGAGCCTCCGCTGCTCCTCTGTTCCTCCCTGCGGCGTCAGCGGCGCCTCGGCTTCCGGGCTCCTAGCGACGCTGGCGGCTCCCGGTGCTCTCCGCAGGAGACGACCGGTGTCACGACGCTCCTATTCATCCACACCGTTGGAACCTCTGGCCTTCTCTCAGGGGGACAACGGCAGCCCCTCCCTTCAAACATGGACCACAGAGTAGAGGGGTCCTGGGAGCCGGTTTCTGGTTAATCGAGGCTGTACCGCCTGTGCTGGGGACACCCCTCTGGGCTCACGGCATGGTCCCACATGCCTCGCTTTAGGAACTGGGAAGCAGAACAAGGGAGGAAAGAACGTTACTGACCACGCACCTGGGCCACCCACACACATGCCCCCGTTAGTTTAGACCCGCCGGGAAGCTGCAGCGGAAACCAAAGTGTGGTGGGGGAGACCAGCACATGAGCTGGCCCAGGTGGCGTGGCACCGGGAAGGCCGCCCCGCCGGGTGCGCTGGCTCTTCCCGGCCCCACCAAGTGACAAGTGACCTCTCGGCCATCACAGCTCCTTCAGGCCAGACAGCTCCACTCTTTCCTAACATCTGCCCAAACACCCCAGCCCTCCCTGCCTCGCGGAGCAGACTTGCGGGGCGGAGCAGAGGCATCCCTGCTGGACCCTTCGAGATTACCCACCACACTTCACCTGCGAAGACACTGACATTCGTCAGCCTGCGAGTAGAGAGCTGGTGCCCTGATACCGACCGGCCCGCAAGCCGTGCAGTGTCTGCCGGGAGGGTCCCCTCACTTCCTTCATGACTTGGTCACGTGGCCCTCACTCCCCTCCCCAGCTATAGCCTGCTCGCTGTCCCGCGACGAAAGACAGGCAGTACTCACCACGGGCTTCTAGCAACTCCCCACCCCACCTCTCACCCAAGCCCTTATTTGGGCCGTGTCTTCCCACAGATATGCAGACCGTGAGGCCAAAGACTAGCCTATGCGGAACATAAAAACACAGCCCTTTGAGCTCAAACTCTAGGCGCATCACCAGCCAGCTCTGGGTGTGTCCCTTCCCCCTTCTGGGTCAGTCTCCTGGTCTGCAAAGTGAGGGTGCTGTTCCTTTACGGATCCTACCTATATCCTACTTACTGGGAATGACAGTGTGAGAGCGGATTGCTTGGACCTAGACCGGGGGAAGTGAAAGGCCACCACCCACCCCTAAGAGAGTTCCATATGACAGCACCCCAGGAAGGAGGGGCCTGGAACCTGACAGGAACTAACTCTAAGCACAGCAGGGAGAAGTGGGGGGGG